AACTGGAGAATAGATAAACCATGGCCTATCCATGCAACAGGACATTATGCAGCAAAAAAGAAGTGGATTACTTATACCTGCAATAGTATGAGTTAAAAGGAGCCAGATTCGATCAGCTACAGGCTGTGTGAACATCATTCACGGGACAGCCTGGGCGAGATCAAGGTTCCCAGGGGCTGAGGTACAGGGAGGGGATATACTACAAAGGTACATGAAGGAATTTTGGGAGGTGAGAGAACTGTTCTTTGGCTGAGTTGCTGATGGTGATGTGGCGGGATTGTCAAGATTCACAGAAGTGTCCCCCTAAGAACTTACTGTATGTAAATTACACCTCAATAATCCCCCTAAAAGAAACTGATTGATATAGTAGTGTTAGTCATTCTGTTAAGATTGAGTGGCCAAGGAAGGTGTCTTGAAGGTGACTAATGTGTAAAATGAACCTCTTCAAAGTCCCTTTTTTTTTCTACTCAGAGGCGAATAAAAGAGGAAAACTTGTACTTTATTCTGAAAGCATGTATTTTAATTAAGAGAGAATTTATGCAACCCCACACACCAGGAACATTTATAAGTGCAAGAATGCAAATTTAGTCTATTTTTAAAGGATGTTATTGACAGGCACAGTTCAAAAAACCTCACCAGGGAGCCCTTTCATGCAATGCTGCATGTTTCCTGATCAAGTTTGTGCTTTCTTTTTGCCTTTATGCATATTAAGTTGCCAGAAATGATAATTAATCGCATAAAAGCCTGACACTTGAAAAGACAACATGTGCGAGACAAGATCAAGGTTCTTTGCTGTCCTTCTACAGCACTCCAGGTGAGAGAGCCTGGCTGGGAAACAACCACTTCTACAGCACCTGGCCTCTGGTCATTCCCAGAACCTGCTGGCAGCTGCAGTGGTTCTCCACTGCTGTGGTGAGATGCATGTTGCACTGCTTCCCAGAAAGGCAGCCCATCCCTCAGAAAAACCAAACTCTAGAGAATTTAAGAACTGGAAGACGCAACCTGCTCTGAGACTTTGTGGAGATGCTTTATAAGCAACTAAACTGAGTCTTCTTTTGTGAGAAAGAGGTCAATCTCTTTGGAAACTTTGAAATTGCCGGGGAGGGACCCCTTCCAAGGAGATCTGCCTTGGGTCAGTCAGCATCGTTTTTTAGAACAGCTAGGTTTTGAGTCTGTAGCTCCCACTATCTAGAGATGACAAATAGAATCAGACTGTATTTTGATGTTTTCTAAAGAAAATTTTCTGCTTTTGCTAAAGGAATTATGACTTGCAATGAGGAGAGTAGGGTTTTAGTTTCACTCTTCTCCGATTTTGTCCTGAGGGCTAAATCCCATCACTTGTTTTTGGTTTCTGTGTCAAACAAGTGTTTGAACTGGAAGGTGACTTTTACTGCTAACTGCTTGATTTTATTATTTGGTCACTGCTCAAACATCAATCAAACTGCAGTTAGTCAACTCTTATAAATATAGTGGACCTGTATGTTACGGAAAATATAGACTTTATGGAGCTTTTCGGCTCTGGGAAAGTGGAGAAACAGGTTGTGCCCCGGGACTCATTGGTCAGCCTGAATAGTGTACTTGGTGAGTTCCAGGCTAATGAGAGACCTTGTCTCAAAACAAAATGGCTCCCGAAGAACAAAACCCAAGGTTAACTTCTGGTCTCTTCATGCACATGCATTCACATGCATGAGCATCTCTCTCTATGAACACACACACACACACACACACACACACACACAAACACACACACACTAAAGTAGTCTAGCTCAACTCTATCATTTTATAGATGATTGAACTAAAGACAGAGAGTTAATTAAATGACTTGGTCCAACTCTCTTATATGGATAGTAGTGGCAGAAAAATGTCTAAAGTGCAGGTCTGTTGATGCCCAGCCAAGTCCATATACCCCATGGGATAGGGAGTAGAATTTTATACTTAAGAAAGGAGGAAACAGTTTGGAGAGTGATTAGTACAAAAATGGGACAGTGTAACTCCATGCATGAGGACATCACTGTGTGTGTGAGGGCGGAGACAGTGGAAGGAGAGGGAAGACAAGGACAAAAATTGAAGGGGCTTGACTGTAAACCTGAAATTAGCTAGCTACCATAATCCCAGAATCTCGTTTGCTGAGACTACCTTGAGATCTCCCTTTGACACAGTGACAGTGGTGTGAAGTTTCCTAGAAAAATGCTGTTTTCTTACTGATAAAGATGCAGCCTCACCCGAGACTAGAAAAGATGGCAGAGGGGCACCCAAAATGAGCTAGGATTGCTGGCCGACCTACAGAAGGCAGGCATGGATGATTATCGCTATGGATCTCACTCAAATGTCAGAAACCCTGCTTCAGTAGCTTTAAAGATAGAGCTTATGCATCTGTAGGGTTTCAGATCCCCATTGATTCTGATGATCATCCAGTCTAATTCACTCTTTACCAACCTATCAAATTTAGACAATCACTTCGCAAAAACTGGCAGTATTTACCAAATATGTGTGGCTATACCCCAGCATTTCAGACTCAGACATACACCCAAAAGAAATAAACTCTTACGTCAACCAAAACACATAAATAAGAATACCCAGAAAAGGTTCTCAGTCCCAAATCAGAAACATGTCAGTGCCCATTAATATTGGAAAGGGTAAGCTGCAGTCTATTCCTACAGGGGAACCCTGCAGCAATTGAAAAATGCACTGCTAAATGCACCAACATGAATGAACAACACATAAATAATGATAAGCATAAAAAGACATACAAAGGAATATCATTATATGATTCTACTTGTATATTAAAGAATTGCCATAACTAATATATGGTGATCAAAATCACAGTAGCCATGGGATCTCTGTATGGATATTAACTGGAAAAAGGCATAAATGTTGGAACTCTTTTAGAATCCAATTGGGTGGTGGTTCTATAGACACTATGTAAAAATATATTGAGCTGTTAACTTATCCCATTTACTGTGCATATGACACCTTGAGAAGAAAAAGTACAGAATACATATCTGTGCTGCCAAGTTCATAAGGCTATTATAAGAATCTCATAGCTTTCAAACATAAGATACATGCAAAAATACAATCTTACATTATTTAAGTGGCTCGATACTTATTCTTGATGAAGTCAGTTGGCACTACCTGTAATTCAGATGACTCTCGAGCTTTTGTAAGTCACAGCCAAAGGCACAAAGTTACCTGAAGGGAGCTCATTAGTGATTTCTGAGCTTAGGAAGGATACATGGTAATCATAAACTTAGAACAACACTGCAGCTGCGGTGGGGTGCAGCTCAGCTTTGCAAAAAGCTTTTTCCCTGGCTGCTGATGGTGAGCTCAGCCTGCTTTGAAACTCTGGGAAGAGGTCCCTGCAGCTGCATCTTTCCATTCCATGCCCTCACTTTCTAGTCAGTTCGCCTCCCCAAGGAGACAGTAAACACCATCTGTACTGCTGCATTCACCAGCCCGGAAACCCAAATCTCTTCTTCCCATCAAGAAAATTACCCTCAGCCTGACATGCCCTCAGTCAGTGGGAACCAGTCATGGAGTGTCAGACAGCCCCAAAGTTTGCAGGCCTTGAAAAAACACAGAAACTGTCTGCGGTCATTAGTACCTGGGGGAAAAATGTGCAGGACACAAGGAAGCCGAGGGTGAGTGGAGGGAATGGAGAAACCCTGTCTAGTCAACGCAATATGCTTATTTCTGGACCATTACTTTTCAGTCTTTGAAAATGTCATGTGTGTTGAACAGTGTACTTCAGGCAGCCCAGGATAAACACATGGCTACAAATACTGATAACACTATCTTTATTTGTCCATTACTTAACAAGGCCAGCTCACCTGAGGACTATTTGTTCCTTTATAAAAAGAGAATCCAGCACCACATGTATTAAAATGCAGGCCATTTTCTTCAGAGCCTAAACTTTTAAGACCTGCTCTATGCCTTTTCTAGTAAACGCTCTGATCCTATATATCTTTAACATACAACATAGACTTGGTATAAGATAACAAATTTATAATCTCTGTTCTATTGGTTCAGTTTTCTTAACACAGTCATTTAGTATATGTTGTGTCTGATACTCTAATCATTTCTGTGTTCAATTTACAGAATATATTATATGTTCATCAACTTGTGTGAACGCTCTCCAGATAGTTCTTGACTAGTTAATTCAACAAACGTTGCTTTTAAAGGTAGATATTTGATAAATGCATAAGAGGAGAATATATCTTTAAGACTGTATAACTATAAAATTATATGTAATATACTAATAGCAACAGTGCAGTTCACAAATATGTATATTTATCAGAATAAAGCCCTGCACTGGACTCCCCTTCCTCCACAAAGCTCCAAAGACATTGCATACAGAAGAACATTAATAAAGCTATTAAAATTAGGAGTCAACCTTGAATGACACTTGCTTAGACGCGGGTGGTGGTAAGGGGCAATCATGCTTAAGTTCATTGAATAGAGGCTTGGAAAAATCAACACACAATTTTTCAGTCACAGAGATCCACATACAAAAATCAGTTGTAAGAAAAGTTTAACTAAGGAAAACAAAGTTCAGAGAAATGAAGCATATTTTCTCCTCTTGGTTCTTTCTGAAAGAAGATGTTAGAGAAGTGCAGTGGGACTTTTCTGCTTTCTGAAAGGTTTTGAATTGCTCCTAAGAAACATTTGCCTGAGGTGGAAACTATGGGGTGTGATTGTCACTTTCACTGGTCAATTAATTTTACAAGGAGGGAGAAGACAGGAGGAGGCAATGGTCTCTCTTCAGAAAAATGCACCCCAGCCTTTTCTTAAACCAATATTGCAAACTCTAGAAGTAATTCCCAGAACAAAGCCATGCCTAGAAGGGGACATGAGTTTGAGTAATACTCCCCCTTTTGTGCAAAGGACTCTGCCTGTTTGTTTACAACACCCCCCCACCCCCCAACC